AAAACAAACATGCCCTGTTGTCGCAAGAAACAAAGTGCAGAAGGAAACATCCATGTAAACTCAGGTTGCTGCTCTGTGATGCTAGTTCAAGCCAGATACTTGGCATCTCATCTTGGGTGCAAGTTCATCAATGTTTGGGGTCAGGCTCTGAGCTGAGGAAATCCTCAGGATTGAGTGAAGGTGTGCGTGCAATATACCGGCGGGCCAGATCTAATAGTAATTAGAAATTATCCTGCGGGCCGAAATTAAATCCACCAAGGGCCTGATTTGGCCCCCGAGCCTTGAGTTTGACACATGTGATCTACTCATTTATGCAGATAGATGTAAGAAGACACCTAATGACATGGTCAATATGATCTCATTTATATTTTGCTCTCCAAGTTCACTGTATTTTATGCCTTTTTAAAAATGTCCAAATAAAAACATAACAATTATTAATATATCCTGCTTTAATAGATGTATTCTCTTAACTCATGACACTTTAGGTGAAAAGGAGGTTATCATTCCCTGTTCTATCAAATAATTACCAGAAAATGTGCGTTTCACTTCTTAGTTCCTAAATCACATCCCCATTCTTCACACGTTGGATTTCACCTCTTCCTTTACAATAAGAGAACTGTGCTTCTTTGAGTTGTGGTCATTTTATAAACTCGAGGGAAAACACAAAGCATTGCCTGTTTACATGTTGTATTTTGTGCCTTTCCAATGATCAATGGGTTGTTGTTTTTATTTTAGCAATGATGCATGGTAGATGAGTCACACATGTTGTATCAAGAAACATGTGTGACTCACATGTTTTTTTGTTTTTGTTATGAGTAAATATATACCACATGATTGGTTGGTAACATTGTAGTTTCAAAAATAAAGCCTTTTCTAATCATGCTATATTTATTCTTTCATCAGATTGGACAACTGTTTTAAATCAAATGATTTGGCCACATTTTAAAACATGTTTTAAGATTTGTGCAAAGGTAGGACCAAAAAACACTCAGTTTTCTTTCTGGCAGAAAAAGTAATTTAACTACTCATTTTCTAACGAGTCAAAGGAAAGTAAAAGTGTCCCATTTTACAAAGGGACTTCCACACTGTTGAGGTCATCCACTGTTCAGTGGAACTGACCACTGAGGCTTCATGGGAAACATTTATGTTAGCAAATATTCCCCAACAGACGGGATTCTTTGTAGGAGTTTCCACCATGATGGGTATGACTGTATGGTCTCATGTCTCACAACACACATTCTGTACTACATCATCATCATCATCATCATCATCATCATCATCATCATCATCATCAATAAAGTACCCTCTTTAGTCCAGAACTTCAGATATTTATTTAAAGAAATGTGACGGTAATGTTCCTGTTGTCCAGCAGAGGGCAACCTACTCTTCACTCTCACTTTCCTCTCTGGACAAAAGTCTGTGAACACTGAAACGTACTGTAACCCACATGTGGTTTTTGGACACATCGTTCCCATCCGAGGGCATTAATGTGCAGCTTCAACAGCCTCCTTTCTCATGAGAAGGCTCCTCACAGCATGTTGTGTGATGTCTGTCTGCAGGGATTTGCACTGAGCTTTTTTGGAGCAGCTCTGATCGTTTATTTGATTTAACTGATGCTCATGCTTTGGGCTTTACACACTCCCTTGCCGGCGATTTCAAAGGCAGCTCCCCTGTAGGTAGCAACACACTGACCGTCTGTACACAGGTATGCCTGAATCTGCTCCCACACCTTCTGTCTGGGGGTCAGCTCTGTGTCCGGGTCATCTGCAGTAAGAAAACCGTTTGATTCATACCGAGAACATCCACTTATCTCTTCTATGATTTTATATAATCTTTGTCTCTTTTACTGTTTACAGCTCTGTATACATATTACTTTCATATTTTATTTCAGTTATATTTGATCCCACATTTCAACTATTTTATTTTACTTATAATTTAAGATTCTCATGGATTTGTTTTAAAAGTATAGGAAGAATATCAGAATTGGTAGGTTAGACTTAAAACATGTTTAAAACCAAGACAAATACAATTGGTGCATCTCCAAACATCATCATTTCCTAGTGTTGGTGATGTTAGAAATGATTGTTACATTTCAGTTGAATACTAATGATTCATTTGTAATATTACCTGGGAAGCCCATGGACCGTGACTCTGTCCCCTGGTTCTGCTCCACTTGGAGGGTCAAGGATTTCCACCCTGTCTGGTGATCTGGCACACAGGACCGCAGCCTGGGACAACACTCCTCTCCTCTTGGCTGGCTTCAGGTTACACAGCACCACAGCCATGCGGTTCTGCATCTGCAAGAGGGAACAGAAGATTTGATATATATTTACAGCTAAATGCCCATTATCAATAGAAAACAAAAACATCAAAGCAAATTTCCATATGAAAACAAAACCCCTTCAAATGATATTCACACAATTCTGCCAGTTCTTAGAAACTGTGTGTGATGGTTTATTGTTTGTGTGTCTTTTTCTCAAATCAAGGCAGAAACAAGAAAACTTGAGATTTTTGAAACTAGAGACCTGTTCGGCTAAGGAACATTTGAAAAGAATAGCAGAGGCAGCTTCTGCCAAAAGCTGAGAGAAGAGAAATCCAGCATTTAATAAAATGATGTATGGCACATTTTGGGAAATACTTACCAATAATAAGTATACTATACTATACATACACGTTTTGTCTATCATCCCAGTTTCAAAGACAGCCAAAGAGCATTTCCATCAAACTCAAAATGCAATTACTACAATATTTGATACTTGTTTTATGGACAGATATTCACAGTTCAATAAGAGTTCGATTTTGACTTTACAAATGATACAAGTCAGATCTCTTTTCTAGCCAGCCATGTTCTTTGGGACCAAACTGGACATTTTTATTTTTACAGATCTTGCTTTTTGCTCTATCGTTTGCTTGTTGTTGTCATGTTGAAACAAGGAAGGGCTTTCCCCAGACTGCTGCTGCAGAGTTTGAAACACACTATTGTCTACAACTTAAACAGGAAATCTTAATGTTACAAAAAGAATGATAAAAGTCTAATATATTCTACTTTAGCAATTTACACAATTCTGGGTGACCTTACTTTTGGCAACTTTAAGAAATGAAACGATTTGACTGAAAATAATCTGCAGCGTTTTTGATAATCCAGTAAGTGACCCTTATAACAAGCTTCTTAACAGGGCAAGCATGCATGCATGGGGATATGTTAGCATACACTAAATATAACATTTACAACATGTTTGTTCAACAGTGCAAAATCACCTAAAATGTGTGTTCAGCACAATATAATGAGTGCTTCATATCTACATAATGAGCAGGTCTTTTTCCTAAAATAAAACGAACCATTTGTTTCAGATTCATTGTCAAGTCAAAATTGGTATGAACGCAACATAAGAGGTACTAACGGAACTAAATGGGAAAAGTACGGGAAAAAGTACTCCGGTGTGAATGCGCCTATAGAGAGCATCCTGACCTTCTACAGGTGCACCATAGAGAGAATCCTGACCTGGTGCATCACGGCCTGGTATGGCAGTTGCACCACCACCCTCACTACCGTAAGAATCGCGATCGACTGGTTGGTGACCACTGCCCTAGACTAGAGTATTTTACACACTACAACGAGATACATTATTGAGTATTATACAGTCTCACTATGCTACAGGAATATATATAGATATAGGCTACTATCAAGGTACAAGAAGAGGACAGAGACACCGCTCATCATATTTACAATTATTTTATATCACAAAATAGCAATGCCGTTATTTCTGCCAGGTATAGTGTACAATATGTTGATACTCCCCCCTACACACTCCCCCCTACACCCCCCCCCCCACACACACACACACATACACACACAATAGTACAGAGAAAAGGTCACAACATTATATAAGAAGCGACAGCTGAGACTTGTGCCATGTTCAATACTGTAGCCCTCTTTCTCAAAAGCTGTCCATTAAAAATACTTTCTGAAGTCATTCAGTATATAGCCGCTCCTCATTCACTGGAGGGTTAAAGTGCAATATAGGAAAGTATAGGAAAGTTAACAGAGAGAAGAATACACATAAGAACGAAATCAAATACGTGATAGCTTTGATTATAAAACCATGTTGGATCATGCTGTATTTTAAAGGCCCATTTTAAAATCTTTCTTGTAAAGGAGATAATTTGGTAGGCTACTAATTCAATAGAAAATAGAGGCACTGATCAATTGGTACATTCTTTTAAAAATAATTAATACAAATTATTTGCTAGTGTAATCAAAGTGAGACTTTTGGTCAGTCTTTGGTCAGTATCAGTAGATGAAGTGTTGAAATAAATATAAATAGATATCAACAGGCCAGCATATCATTTAATATGTTGCTTTTCTCTTAGCCATCTAGTATTCATTGTACCAAACTTCCTTGTGTAATAGTGTACTGTAATGTTTTGGGCATATTAATATGTTATAATTCAGTATTTCATTTTTGGGGTGCCTTTTTTCAAATCTGGCTTTTAGGAAAACTCTGACTATAGTCCCTGTCAGATAAACAATTACAATGAATACATACAAAATAAAAAAATAGGGAGAATATACCGTAACCAATACCATATACCATATATTTTGGTTGAACTTTGCTTTAAAAAGAATCTTCCAAATTAGCACCAAACTTGTCAGGAAACCTGGATGCCATTACATGGAGTACACCAATGTCTTTTGTATTTAAAAAATCATTTGAATTGTATTTATTCCTACAAGAGTTTTTTTTTAAACACTGTTATCCGACAAAAATCAATGATTACCTTAGTTTACTCATATAATCTTTACATTTCTCTGTAAAAAGATTTATCGTCAGGCAAATTCACTCTGTAGGCAGTAGAGCCAGAGTCCAGAGATCTGGCACTAACACTAAACACTACTGTGTGCATTACTTTATCTTGTCGCAGAGACAGAGTGTTTGTGTGTCAACATAAAACAAAGACAAGATGACAAAAGAAAAAAGAAAAGCAAGGAGGACAACAGATATCTGAAAGTGCTTCTGAGTAATCGTATGTATTGTGCCGTCTCATTATCCATGATGTGAAATATAGAGGCTTAAAAGGTCTAGATTAGGCCGGCTGAGACTTAAACATCTGTATCTCAGACGTGCTGGCAAGAACCACAACCATCCACCTCCTTCATATCCTCAAAGTAAAATATATATATATCTAAACATAAAAAGAGCTTTCTGTCAAACCAACCGCATTGTTTATAAGATATAGTGTATGAAAATGTACATTCATAAATGCTTCCTGCAGGCAGTACTTCACAGTGAATCACTGCTGTAAGAAACTACATATTTTAACCTCTTATCTAGGAAAATCTGTCGATGGGTATAAACGTCTAGAACCAAGAGCATAAAGTCTAACAAAACATTTAAAGGAATAAAGAATTCAAATGTGCACTTATAAAAAGAAAGCCTTCATGGAGCACTAAAACATTTGGCCATACATTCAATAATCCTTCAAACGGGGGAACAGGAGATGTGCTTGTTATGTAACAGTGTCCCAGGTGGCTGTAGGACATACAGTAATGGAAACAATGACTTGAAGTAAAAAAACAACAACGTTAAACTCCACTGGCTACACGGACTCAGTCATACCTGTGCTTTTCAGAGTGCAGGAATGTGAGAGGAAACAGATCCAACCGACAATTAGATCCTACTGACCTTGTTCAATTACTGAATACTAAGAAGGTGATATACAGGATGACTACAGAACAACAAAAGTAATAGTAGGAGAATGAATATTACCAGAAACGGTAAAGGTGAGTGTGAAGTAACAGTCCCCAGAGCCATAGGAGTTTAAGTTTACGTCCACACTCAGCCAGCAAGATTTAAAACAAGCTACTTTTTTTATATGTCAATATAGCAATTACCATATCTGTTCTCACTAACCTGTATTTTTGTTTATACATTTCTCAGCACAAAACAGGAGTTTAACCAACTGAGGTCCTGCAGTGTGATGCAGTTTTCTTGTGTGCTGACCAATTTCCTATTCAGGAGGTTTTGAGTGCAGATATTTGCTGTGGCTGCAGAATTAGCTGGTATAGTGTGGACCTACTCCCAACGAAACTTCTCAGCTAACATTTTCATGCTGTTATCTTTTCATGCCATAAACAATCCCATGCTTGGAGCTTTACATGTATATATGAAAACCCTGAACATGCACCGAAATGCATTTGATCTGTCGGGTAATGCATAGCTTCATCCTTTTCACCAAACCAGTCTCTCCTTTAACTCAACAAAAGTTACGAAGTTATTTCTTAAGTTTCATATCATGATCCTATTCCAATCTGTTTCACAGCCAGGGAAATAACAACAATTTACTATAATCTTGGCACAAAGACTTGTTGACATATTTATATTGGCTGGTTTCACAAGTGTAGGAAGTTTGTCTAACATATCAGCACACTGCCAGGAGTTTGGTAGTGGCAACAGTACCGGCAGCTGTATTTAGCAGCAGTGTGAACACAGCTTCCCTCCTGACAGACAGCAGGGAGAGGTCACCGTCATCATGTGTTGTGATAACGTGTGAATCAGCAGCAGTTTCAGTAGGGCAGTGGGTGACATCACTTCAAACTGCTTGTGGCAAGCTACGATTGTCAAATGTGAGGACAGAAACATCTACCATGTGTTTGTTGATTTCCTCTCAACAGCAGGAATATGCAGTTGGTTAAATAGGAGACGTAAATGAAAGTCTTACACAAATAGAAACAGAAACAGTTTAGAAATTACAGCTTAACATGTGCATACATATTCCAACTTCTGAAATGTCCAATGACCACTGAACTTAAAGACCCATGCTTTAAGTTATTTTTTTAGGGATGAAAACATGTACCTAAGTCTGTGGTTGAAATCTGGTTGAAAATCACATAGAGTGTTTGGGAATAAATTAGACCCTATATGCTCCATATTGATTACATCAGTAACATTTACTTCTGGAATATTTTGGCAGTGATCCCATACCAAAGAAATCAAACAATCTGCACACACTTCTTATAATAATTAAAACTGCTATCTTGCATTAAGTAGTCCTGGATGCTCCTGTGCAGGTTGAAGGAATGAAGAGAAACACATTTGAACTTCTCAGTACTGGTCAACTCAGCACTGTGGTTCAAAATATCAGCACTTGTTTTAAGTGTATTTCAGATGCTTGGTTTAAGGATGTGAAAATGTTGGGGCACCACAATGGGAGAGCTGTGATTGGCTGTCTGGTCGTCATGGCAGTCAAACCAACAAAACAGTGAGTGGTTACTGCTAGAAAACTAGCAAGCAACACGTCCACAGATGCAGGGACAAATATTGTTTTTTCATGGTCAATAAAGACAGAAATGGGTGTTTTTGTGCTGCTATTTTGTAGGGCTCATCATCTGAGAAGTCCTCTAGGGGCCCGAGAGGTGGCGAATCTCTGACGGGCCCCTGATCACTTTGTCCTGGTGATTTGTGCGTTTTTCAGGATTTGGCCAGATCACATTCATGCTCCGTGGACAGGTGTACTTCAGACATGTCTACCTCCACACCTGTCGTGAAAGACGAGTCTGAGTCACTGCTGATCGGACCCTGGTGCCCACCTGAGGGGGGAGAGATTGAGAAAATTCATTATCATGTCCTTAGAAGAGTGAGGATAGAAAGTTGAATTCTGTGTGTCGATACAAATGTTTCCCCATGTTCCAGCAATAAATCAGGTCTCTTTGTGGGACACTAATGGCAGCACACGCCCAGTAAGTGGCTGACTTTGGAAAGAATGATGGCTGCAATACCTTCACAGACAGCGCTCATTATTCAGGCTAAGGAAGCAACACAATCGGCCCTCCATTACTGCCAACAAGCCACAGCTGAAATCCTGACAGATCGGCTTGTTCATCTCATGCTAACTGCCTGTCAGGGACATTGTGACAAATTGCATCTGATTTACATACTAATTAGGAAAAGCTGCCTTAGGTAAGCTGATCTATTGCTTGTCAATCATGAAGGTAAACATTACTCTTTGTGTTACCACCTTCTTCTGAGTGCTTTGGCGAAAAGTCACTTAAGGGCACATTGGAAATGACTCCATCACATTGACATGTTTTTGTTAATGTTTGGTCTTTAGCTTGATAAATACTAGACTTATTTTTGTCTTAAATAGTGCCAACGCATACAAAAACGACAATTTATCTGATCTTAAAGCAAGAACACAATATTCACATCATGTTGAAGTTAAAATGTATAACTAGGGATACAACTAACTATTATTGAGTCAAATAGTTTCTACTTTTGAACTTAATGGCGCAATCATTATAACAACTATAGCTGATTTCAATAAATCCTTTAAAAGAAAGTCACTCTGACAAATTGACTTCAAATCTAAATGCGTCTAAACAGGGCTTCAGGTTATGCTGTAAACCCAGGAAAGAAGTGTTTTTTTTTACCGTTTACTTTCTAGTGATATTAAGAAGGTGTGTGGTAGGCATATCATGTGTCAGTTTATCACTAGGGGGAGATTAAGTCTTCTAACACAAAAACTGTTTGTGTTTATTTAGTTTTTTTCTGGAAGTGGAGGAGCCAGTCTGACGTGTTGAGCTGTGGGACTTTTGGCACAAGTTCCTCACACACTTCATCTTCGGTTCCACTCTGCTCCTCCAGGTCTTTAAACACTGTATACAGGTAAAACTGTGCTAAATAAACCCTACATTGAGAGTAACCAGACCAATGAGTTGTAAAAAACGGCAGGAACAACAATAAAAACCACTGGGAAGTGTAGTTACATAAAGCTGAATAGACCAGGAAAAAAAGGTAACATTTAAAGCACGAGTCGCATTAAAGTCATTGTCATGTCAGTTTATCACTAGGGGGAGATTAAGTCTTCTAACACAAAAACTGTTTGTGTTTATTTAGTTTTTTTCTGGAAGTGGAGGAGCCAGTCTGACGTGTTGAGCTGTGGGACTTTTGGCACAAGTTCCTCACACACTTCATCTTCGGTTCCACTCTGCTCCTCCAGGTCTTTAAACACTGTATACAGGTAAAACTGTGCTAAATAAACCCTACATTGAGAGTAACCAGACCAATGAGTTGTAAAAAACGGCAGGAACAACAATAAAAACCACTGGGAAGTGTAGTTACATAAAGCTGAATAGACCAGGAAAAAAAGGTAACATTTAAAGCACGAGTCGCATTAAAGTCATGTTCGCTCTTGTTTCATAGATTTACTGATTTGGCATCAAAATGATACCTTTATCTTCTAAATATGATGTTTTTGGGCTATTTTTAGATCTTTTTATATGTAAATAAGCTAATAATTAAAAACCTTTAAAAGCGGTCCTTATATGCCTTTTGGGGTTTTCCATCTCCTGTAGTGTGTTATGTTTTACTGCAGGTTAATGATCTGCAAAGGCTAACATCCCATCCCTCTCACACACTTACCCCCCTTCCTGAAAGCCTCCACTGGATTCCTTTGTTTACTTCAAGAACATTGTGACATCACTATGTAACACACGCGCTTCTATTGGCTAGCGCTCTCAAACATTGTACGTGATAAGCTAAGGGGCGCGACATCTCTAAGCGGTTGACCGATCACAACAGAGCCAGCTAACCAATCAGAGCAGACCCCTGTGTCTGGTTTCATGGGTGAAACATTACATTACATTACATTACATTTCATTTAGCTGACGCTTTTATCCAAAGCGACTTACAATTACCAATTACAGGGACATTCTCCCTGGAGTAATCAAGGGCTAAGTGCCTTACTCAAGGGCACACTAGTGGTGGTGTTCCAGGCGGGATTTCAGCCCACCTCACTATCCATTAGACCACCACTACCCCGGGTAGTGAAACAGGTGCAAAGCATGTAAACATGCCACAGTAAGGACGAAAAAGACAAAAATGAAACGTGAAAAGGAACATAATAGGGCCCCTTTATCCAGTAATAGAACAGGTGTGAATACAATAAGTACAATGTTTTAGTATTTGCATGTGCATGTATTGCCTATAAAGTGCTGATAGCTTGCACATGTTTAACAGTCGTTATTTAAATGAACAGCCCTTAGGCGTTGGCATGAGGGGCTATAATGTACAACATATGTTAACATGACGAATATTTTAGTGTAAGTAGGGTAAGACTGTGGCTTTCTGGGGTGGGGAAACTATTCTTACCCTCCTTTGTTTCCCAGGAGGATCTAAAATGGGGAACACTGACTAGGTGGCTGCTGGCCTGATTTAGGCTCAGAAAAAAAACAATTCAACCCTCAGATTACAAACGTGGGGGAATGAAACCAGAAACACCACACTGTAGGAAAGATACTCTCCTCCGGGGCATGAATGGTAACAAAACTTGACTCATCTGTATCTTTTGGCACTTTTACTTATGTGAATCACAAAATATTTTCAAGTGCAGGACATAGCAGAAATCTGGTAATAGTCAAATGGGGCAAACTCACTGCTTTAACTAATTGCATTTCATTTAGCTGACATTTTTATGCAAAGTGAGTTGCAATAAACTATGAAGATACAAACTCAGAAAAGCAAGAAACCTGCAGGTACATTTGCCAATAAGCCATATCATTGTAAGTGCTGGTGCATTAGTTTAAATTGAGCTAAATCCTTTAAGTACTCTTGATGGCTAAAGTGCATAATGGAGAGACAAAGAAATAGACAGACGTGTAGAGCATGTGGTGAAAGCTTTTTCTTTAATTAAATTCTCAAAAATCCCTTTTCCCTGTCTGTCAGGTCATTTCCTCTATATTAAAAATGTGTGATGTCTGTACTTACGGCCGGTGATGATGTGGCTTTCCGCTGCCTGAGGCTCTGTCTCTTCATCAGGGTGGAGCTGCTGGAAGCCGATCTCCCCGTCGGCTGGATCCAGATCCACCGAGCTCTCGTTAAACGTGATGTCACTCTCCCCACTGATGGCGTTGGTGGGCGGACCCCCGACAGATGTCTCATAGTCTGGAGGAACGTCATCTGTGCAGTCTGCGTTGAGCTGGAACGTGTACAAAACTCTTTAGAGACTAGGCAGGTCCATCTCTTTTTTATGTGTTGCAGATTGGAGTTAGATTAGTCTTGATATCAGAAATAAGAGCAGTGCAAAATATTTGAGAAAAACACACAAAATAATCAATTTAAAAAAAGGACCTTACCAGGATTCCCAAGGCTTTAAGGATGTTCATTTTACACATGGGACATGTCCGGTGGTCTTGTAGCCACGGGTCTACACAGTGCTTATGGAAAACATGCCTGGCAAAACAAGAGAGCAGTGCACAAATACAAAGTATTAAAACAAATGACTGTAGATATCAGAAGTTATATGTTGACTTTATGTTTCAACAAATAGAGATTTAGTTTTTCAAATGATAGTATGTAGGACAAATCTGGAGCATACAAAGATTACCTGCATGGTAATACCCGCAGAACATCATTAGGCTTATAACCTTCAATGCAAACTGCACAGTTGTCAAAGTCTGACTCAGTCTCCTAAAACACAGAAATAGGAAAGACGAAAATGACTATAATTAATATAAGTATAACAATAAAATAATGACAATATGTTTATCATACAGCCTCTTACAAAGCAATGTGAGCAAGTGCTTTACAGTAAAGACAATCAACAATTAAGAGAATGTGATAAGATAAAATAAATATTTTAATTATTAGTATACTGCTTATATAACATATCTATCTTCCAAATAAAATATATTTTTCATATAATGTCCTCTACATGGGTGAACACACTTTAGTAAATGTTTAAAATAAATAATGGCTGACTTAGACTCCCTGTATAGTAAAAAATGCTTTGATTTGTGTGTGAGATGTACTGTTTGCAGTGTAGGATCCATACCTTGTCTCCTTTCTTTATGGTGCGTACTTGCAGCTTACTGATGGCCTTTTTGGCAGCATCTCCCAAACGTCTCTGAAGAGATAACAAATATTATTACTGACACGACAACATAATATTGACAGAAAAAAGTGACTCAGTCAGCAGTATCTCTTTGGTGGGTTGATACAAAGTAAATACTGCAACCACAGGAGAATGTGCCCCAATGTGACATTTGACAAGATCCAGCATAACCTGTAACTCTTCAATTTCTCATCAATTTCACCTCTTCACATTTGTGTTATTGGTACATTATTACTATTGTACACTAGTGACCTTTAAAATAACATTACAAAAAATAAATCAGGTAATTCAACACAATATCAAGAGTGGTTGTTTTGGGGTGTCTGGAGATTAGATGTCTCTTTATCACTATGGGCCTTATAGCTCTTATTGCTATAAGAACAATAAGGCAAGTCGAGTAAGTAAGATAAAGTTTACCAGTAATAATCAAACACAACATAAACTTGTAACAGTTTTACCTTACTGTACTGCCTTGGAAATAAATTAGGAACAGACTTGTTCAATATCCTCGTAAAACAAAAATCAACCTAATTCAAGGTGAAAACACAAACAATGGTTGTCACGGCAGCGGCTGCTTCCCCAACACACGCACTGATGAGTTATCATAACAGACGTCACAAGAACGTCAGAGGCGGCCATTCATATTAAAGGGAAGGCAATAGAAAGTATTTGCACTGGGCCAGAGAGCAGAGTTGGTTGATGGTTCACTGGTTTGCTGCGCCTCTGTTCAGCCAGCTGTCGGGCTAATTTTGGATTCTCCTTAAAGCCTCACAGAGCCACAACCAGATGGAAAATTGCACGGGCCAATGTCAAGAGTAAAACCACAGCACTATCAGTATCCCTGTTACTGAAATAACATCACTTCATACCTTGATTAAAGTGCACACAGTCATACCTGGTTGCGGTCTCGTGCGTTAGCGTAGCGGAACCTCTGGATGTAGTAGAAGACGAGCCAGGCGAGGGAGATGATCATGAGCACGATGAAGGAGATGGAGACAAACACCACCGACGTTCTGCTCACATACTTGTGCAGGTTGCGGGTTCCTATGGAGATGGACAGCGTGACCCTGATCTGCTGCTCCAGCAAGGCAGCAATCTCACGGCCTTTAGGCTCTGGGATCATGATGGCCACAACTTCACCCGTACCTGCACATACAACGAGAAGTGATGGTTTAGAAGATTGTTTCATAGATACATTTGTTCTATAGCTACAAAAAAAGACATTGAAGTCATTTAATCAGATTTGACACAGACACAAATCACACTTGGTGGATCTTAGACTTCACTTTAGACATATTCAAATATATTCTTCAGACAAAAAAAACATTGAATGTAATTAAAATATGATCAGAGAATTTAGTGTCTATCGTTGAGCAGGCAACTAAAATACATTTGTAATGCATTTTGTATAATATCTATATATAATATGTAATTAATGCATCAGTCCATGACACAAAATTATTGGTAACTATTTTAATAATTGTTTATTATTTTCACATTAACAGAAACGTCAGACAAAAACTAAATATATTTGGGTTTTGGACTGAAAAAACAAGACACATAAAGACTCCACCTTGGAGTCTGAACATTTTAAACCAACATATAAATATATTCTGACATTTTACTGGCAACATCACTTATCAATTTATTAAATATTTTTTGAAAATCAAATCAAATCAAAGCAGGTTTTATTTATATAGCACATTTTAAAAACGATTTTTGGTCGAGCCAAAGTGCTGTACATGCAAATAAAAAACACATTACTACGATCGCAAACAGAAGACAATAAATTACAACAGCAAATATAAAAATCAAACACAGGGAAATGAGTCGTGCTCCGCTCTGACTAGAAGGCCAGGGAGAAGAAGTGAGTCTTTAGTGTTGATTTAAAAAACCCTAGGGTAAAAATAAGGCAAAAATACTTCTTGCCTTATTTGACTTGAGGTGTAGGAGTGTTTTAGCGGCCCATATCTTTTTCCAGATTTCTAGCTCTCAAATAACAATATACCTGTCAGAAATCCAGTATTGCTCAGGATATATTCTGGTTATTAGAAGTTGTCTGTAATGAGGGAACAACCCATGGGACAAAACTGAGTATTTTCTTAGACACAATAAGGGAATACAAAGGCTTTAGTCTCTCTCTGCAACCTGCCGCTCCACAGTGGCAGGTTGCAGATGCATCAACAGAGTAAGCACTGTTACATCATATTCCTTCTGCCGCCTGTTTATGACTGACGCTGCACAGAGTCACAGTGGCTCCCCACGGTGCCTCAGTCCCTCCATCAGCCACCATGAACAGTGGCTTTATTCAACCTGCCATCAGCTACACCACCTACTGTGCAGCCTGCCACAGATACACAGAGAAATCCTCATGCACTGTTACAGAGATCTGCACAGAGCTAAAATGATATTCTGGTGCTAAGAGAGATAATATGATGTTTTGTGTTTTCCAGAGGAGATAAAGGCTTTGAATCCAACAGATATGCTTCCTTTTTGAGGAGGTGGCTTATTGCTTTGATGCACATAAATCCCTTTATGTAACAGGTCCGTTGTGAAATCTGCTCGCCGACTAGATTTTATATGACCAGGTTTGAGAAGTCAGACCAGTATTCTGTTGTTTTAACTGTCGTATTTTGTATGCATGTGCAAGAATCAGCATTATTGGCTAAAATAATAAATTCTTGAAGGAATCATTTGGATTGTAGTTCCCCTTTTTTGAACACAATCAAGCCAATATGTTTGGGCAAAAGCAGCTTTCTTTAAATTACACAAATGCTTAAATTAACAATTTGCTATGGGTAATCGTAGACATGGTGTGTACCATCCTCTGCAAAAACAGCCAGATTAGTAATGAAGCTGGCAGCGTCTCCACTGATAACGCAAAGGTTTATCCCTGTATTACGGTGACTGCTGCCTCAAAATGAGTTTATGTATGTCAGAGCGTCTGAAGCAAATGCTGTTGGAAAACAAAGACGGAGAGAGAGCACAAAAGCTAATGTTTGGACAGCAAACAGACGGCTTTTCGCTGCTGATCATCGCTGTGTTTTCATTCCCTCAGCCCACAATCTGTCACACCTCAACTAACATGTTTGCTTGTTTATTTTTCTCAATTACATACACATTTAAATAAGGTACATTTTAAGAGTTTATGAAATGAATTTTCTACAATTGCTGGATTTAGAAATATAATACCTGTTTTCACCAATAACACAAGTCTCTATTCAAGTCTTTCTGACAATATAAAAATATGAAGGTTACCTGATTTGTAAACCTATGTTCTCATGTTTGTAGTACACACACCTGATCTGTAGATGTATGGTTTTATTAAGCAGGACCATATGGTGCAGAGGGGAAATCACTGTGATTTAACAATTGCCTTTGTCAACAGAAGATAAACGACATTATCCCATGTCAACAGGCAAATTAATTCAAGATAAAACTGTTGCTTCCAGACTCAAGGTGCCCGTGTGTGGCCATCTTTCAGCTTCACAGCCAGCAGAAATAAGGAAAGGCATAACAAGTCATGTAAGATTTCAGTAAGCCTCGACTCTTATCTCTTCTGTTCACTGTGACGCAGCCAGAGCGGATCAAAATAGCTGATACTAAAACAGGAGAGCAATGTCTGAGACGGAGCTGAACTTGTGAAAAGATCTGTGTTTCCAGAGCCACCTCGCCCACATGTGGAAGCAAAGAAGGAATAAATAGTGAATGGGTTAATTCAGTAGACACCGACCTATGCTGGGTATTTCATTTCTGTAACAGGCTTTTCGGACTGCTGCAGAGAGGTTAAGACTGAGGCCAAGATTACTATAGAATTAACTGGTAAAAGCCTTATTTACAACCATAATCTTAACCCGACAGATGCTCAAAGTTAGCTACACTGTGACTTAATCATGCAAGATCCTCAAAAAAAGTCTGTGTCTGAAGAAAGGTTTTAGGAAATATGCTTATGTGTTTTTTTCCCCCCGAGTTTAATAAAAAGGTAAACATGAAACTGAAGACAGCAGGTGGTTAGATTAGCATGAAGACTGGAAAGAAGAAACATTTACCCTGGCGTTGTCCAACATACAACTGTATTCAGATAATAGAAGAATATGGTTTACATTTAAAAAAACTAGCCTTTTGATATATTTACTTTATATTATTTTAATGTATGTTTTTTTATTTGTTGTCTTTTGTATGCACCTGTTCCTATTAGTTTATTGTGAAATATTTGAAAGTCATGTTGTTTTATACATGAACAATTTAAAACCAAACAACGACAATCCACTAGCTTCTCTTAAAGGCAATTAATAACCCCAAATTACAGGTGATAAATAAAACAGGCTTTGGTTTTATAGGGATTTAGGTCCCAGTCTATTACAGGCAACAAGTGGGGATTCCAGGAAGTCATTTATCTTAGGTTATAATTTCTTACAGAAGAAAGTTCCCCATAAAACAAAAATCTCATTTTTACACTTTGTTTTTTGCCATTTCCCTTTTTCTTAAATCTTAGCGCTAATGCACTGCTGCATTCAGCTACAAATTCACTATACATCAGAGTAGTCTTCTTAATCTTCTTATCTAATTCTATGTAAGAAAGAAAACAAGTGCATTCCCTTTCATTTTATACAACTTTGAAAGGAAAATGGTTTAAACCCAACGCTTCTAGAGATGTTAAAGCCAAAGTATCTGACCTGGCGGACTTTGACTCCACTCAGCGTTCGGTTGAGGGTTGAATAAAGCCAGGCCTTGAGAGGTTTCTGCCTCTAACAACTGTGGATTTTACAGCCCAGCTGTGTTGTCTCTGGACAGGAAAGTGCTCCATTCTTTCTTTGGCAGCCTCACACTCAGTCTACACATTAAGATCGGTTCCTTTGTCACTGTATTATCTTCCTCTTCACTAAAAGCTTTGTCATCACACCTCTCTGGCTGCTGTTTCCGTCTCTTAAAGTGTTGCCGTTTATCATTTAATAAAAACTTTAAGCAGTGAAATCCTGGTTTTCAATTTGATGTGAAGTGTTGTACTTTTGCACCTAGTGATTCCAACAATATAACTTTTCTTTGGTAACTTGCCACTAACTTCTGAGACGAGTCTTTAGTGGTTTTACATAGAATTTAAATGATCTGCTTATTATGACAAGCACCTGTCCTGTGCCATCTCTGTACAAAAGGATCTTTTAGTTAAACGTCTCGTATACAATTAGCCCATTATGTGGACAGGACAGGTGTCGTGCACTTTTAGTTTGAACATCTGTTAGTTTACAGATCCTTTTGTCCATCAGTCTGTATGCATTGTGCTGTTGTCTGGCACAGGTGTAGTAGTCTAAGCAGACACACCTGTATGAAAACTAGCAACAAGCCGAGAGCCCATTTCCATTGGAAATAAAGGTCAAGTGCAAAACAAGGCTCCACTCACATATACTATTGAAGGCTTTAAACTCAACGTGTGTTCTTTGCAGTAATCCATTTAATCAGTTTGTGGTGGCATTGAGAGGTAACATTGTGGTTTTAACTGAAACTGGCTTGGAAAAATGTTTTTTTTCAACCTTAGAGCAGAAACAACAACAAATTCTAAATAACCTATTACACTTTTTGGGGTTTTCCCTTTCCTGCAGTGAGTTGTATAGGTTTTGTATCATGTAAATGGCTTAAGGCTAAAACCCCATAGTAACCACGAGAGGCTTTCTCTCCCACACTCTCCCCCTTGCCTGAAACACCTCCATTGGACTCCATTCCATAACATAGGGACATCACTATGTAACACTAGCGCTGGCGCTCCAACACATTGTACTTGATAGGCTAAGGGGTGGGACATCTCTAAGCGGTTGACCAATCACAACAGAGCCGGCCAGCTAACCAATCAGAGCAGACTGGGCTCTGATTTCAGACAGAGGGTGAAAAGAGGTGCTGCAGCACAGGCAGTATGAGAAAAATAAAGACCTTTTTTGCATGTAAACGTGTCACCGTGGAGGCCTAAATACAAATATGAACCTGAAAAGGAGCATAATAGGGCCTCTTTAAAGAACTACAACAGAGAAGAGAAGGCAGAACACTTTAGAAACAGAACAGGCTGAGTGTGCTGATACTTACAGCATCATTGAATTAACGTCTAACATTTATCAGTGGTTTTATGGGAATTGGCTAACATTTAGCTTCAAATATGGGGTACTATAAAGGCACTTCATTACCAAATCGTTACCATTTAGTGGGAGGCGTGTGGCGCAGTGGGTTAGTGTATTGGTGTTTGGATCAGGGGGTCACAGGTTCAAACCCCCACTGCAGTCAGCATGTCGTTGTGTCCATGGGCAAGACACTTCACCCCAAATTGCTCCTGTGGGAATTGCCCACAGTATTGAGTATGTAAGTCGCTTTGGATAAAAGCGTCTAACAAATAACATGTAATGTAATTTAGTGGTAGTACAATGTCTTCTGTGTGGTTAATGGATCAAATACATGTTCTTGTTTCCTTTATACCTAATACTTTATACCAGATAATATGAAAGGGCTCTTTGCTTTTCAACCTCAATTTTGATGTTTGACTCTAGCAACATTTTAACCAACCAGGAAACTCTTAAGTCCTAAGTATAGTTTGCAGGTATTCCTTTCCTTCAGGCTTAACACAGCCACTGTTTAACCAACAAGTCAAAACTAGCCACTCCACTCGCTGCTGTTCTTTAAGCTCATTGCTTTGAGCACGCAGTAACAACAAGGAGAGACTCAGATGAGCATATAAACATTTGTATGACTCAGATCTTCTCTCAGCTGGATTATGCTTGGAGCACCAAAAAAGCCAAGTACGCTGTGCATCCTTTTATCTTAGTGCCGCTTTTGAAGAGGAATCTCCCCGGTGATACACATGAAAAGTCTATTCATGAGTGTGACGACCCCTCCACACCACTAGGCGTTCTGTGGTCTCTCTCTCTTTCTGTTTACAGGATCCGGTGCTGTGGGGCCGGCAATTACCTGATGAGCTGCACCTGGGTCGAAAAGCCTATAAGAAGAGGGCCCAGCCGGATACGTCTCTCTCTGGGGGTGTTTCTCAATCGCGAGTACGCTTGCTTGGTAGCACATGTCTGCCGAGCATCTTGCTTCAGAAGCGAGTCAAGAATACTTCCTGCCATTCGGAAAACAAAGAGTGGAACAGGCTAGCAAGTGTGCAGGTGTGCGTCATATGAGAGGCCCCGCCTTACATCTTCCGCCACAGATTTGGGGAAATTGGTCCGTGCGCAAAGCATTGTGGGGATTTTAAGACCGCGGAATCTACTCATGTGCAGCCTCGATATTTGCAGCTTTACTCCCTGGGTGTTTCTCAATCGCGAGTAAAGCTGCTTCAGAGCCACTATTTCAAGCATACTACGTCATCGAGTGCCGCCGAAGTACTGTTCCAATCTCCAGCATACTTGGAAATCTACCGAGCCCGGCGTACTCCGTTTGGAGAAATATCGAGGCTGCACATGAGTAGACTCCGCGGTCTTAAAATCCCCACAATGCTTTGCGCACGGACCAATTTCCCCAAATCTGTGGCGGAAGATGTAAGGCGGGGCCTCTCATATGACGCACACCTGCACACTTGCTAGCGTGTTCCACACTTTGTTTTCCGAATGCCAGGAAGTATTCTTGACTCGCTTCTGAAGCAAGATGCTCGGCAGACATGTGCTACCAAGCAAGCGTACTCGCGATTGAGAAACACCCTCTCTCTCATATTCCTCTCGCATACTCCCGCATGTGAGCTTCGTGTCGCAGCTATCTTTTTGGGTGTCCACAAAATAAAAGGATTGTTACTTTCAGACCCTCGTCTCGCCTCCCAGTTTTTTGTTGCAGCCCAAGAGCCGGGTTGTAACAATGAGCCCTCTAGTTAAATGAATCTGTGTTCTTTGATACATTTTAAATTTGAATCCTATATTCAGCACATTTAAACCTGACTACAGTTTTGTTTATGAGCTGCATTATTTATTTATTTATTTGTAGCAAACACATTAGTCACCTTTGAGCTGATTAAAAAAGCCATGTGTTTGACAATTATCTGCCTTCAGAAAACAAGGATAATAAATGTGACTCTCCTTTGAAGAACCTGAACTGAGGACATTTTGCATGGATCATTTCAAAAGGTGTGTTTGTTTGTTTGTTTGTGTGTTGTTTCACAAAGCTTATTTTCACATTTTATTTCTTAAATGTTTGCTTTGATGGCGTATTAGCTGTGCTTAACATGTGTCTTTGGTGTTCTTCAGCTTTGTCCACATGAGTTATAGACCTGCAGCCTGCATGCATCAATTCATATTAGTGTGGAAAACTTGGGAAGTTGTAAAGAGGAGACTATGTTAACATTACATGTTTGCTATCTGTGGGCTTATTGGCACATATTACAACCATGCTTTTCCTATTTGTTTTGAACATAACAACATAATGTATTGCCTATGTATAAATCAGGAGCACTTATGGAACAATGTTTTGGGAAATGCCACTGCCTCTGCACAGTTATTTGCACATAAGGAAAACAAGATAAGTGATAGTTATGCAATACAAATAAGTATTATCTTATTTTACTCACATTGTCCACATCTGACTGTCAGCATTAAAACTACTTTAAAACTCTTGAAAAACTTTGAAAGAAATGTAAATGTAATCTGGAAGTTGTGTTCATGATATGTAGTTTAAGTGACAATTACAGTCTGCACCCTCTGATATAAATTGGGGTATTTTTGACCCTCTCTACACCGTTTTGACCAACTGAATATTGAACACTGTCAAGGAGCAGAACTGGCATCAGATATTTGGTCGGATTTGTAAAATGGTTCTCTTCGTTTTTCATCAAATAGTTAATAAACTTCTATATTTTATTGTTATGTTCAGCTGTGTGTGTTTAGGCAACCTATACAGTTTGAGTACAAGGGACTTTTGTGAAATGACATAAGAGGAATGTGGTAAAAACATGCTCATGTCTCTTACTGTAAGGCATCACATCATTGGTATTGTTTCTAAATCTAAGGTATATAAGAGGCTCTAATAGAGATGGGAGGATAAATGATTTTATTGTGTATTGCAATAAAAACACCAAAAACACTTAAACAATAAGGTTGACTGTGCAAATGTCCATTATCAGGAGTGAGTTGACAAAAGCTGTCTAGCTTGATATAATGGTAGAAGTAAACGATATTGAGCATAAGTATTAAGGAATTATTACAGTCAAAAGAACAGTCTCAATCAGAGTTGCTTTAAAGACAATATTAATTATGACTTGCTCAGGATTTGTTATTACGGTATTAAAGATTGTGAATCTTTTTCATTGTCCTATTTCTAAGAATATCAAACAAAGGATGTATATCATGATGTCTTCAATGGTTGCATCCATTTGAGAAAAACTTCAGCAGGACCTACAGAGACACTTTGAAGAATCAGCAGATCAATGGCAGGTCAATATTTTAGGGGATCCAGTGCACTTTTCTACTTCACCGCAAAACGAATTGATTATTGAGCTGAATACACAGAGACAGAAGCTGCTCAGGGACTTAAGCAGGGCGAATGAAAACCATTAATCTAGCCTAACCCTTAAGAAGCAACTAACTAATAACATTGACCCTTTAGGCCTCCATCACCTGACTGGAAAGGATACATGATGGAGAAAAGAAAGTGTGCCCGGTTGTCTCTTACCTGGATGGGGCATTGTTATGGTGTCGTTGGCATTGGTGGAGCCCACATTGTATATGACAACTGCAGAGGCGTTGTAGTTTGCAACGTTACAGATCTTCTCTCGGTAGGAACAGTTCCCATCAGCCACCAGAGCCACCCAGGCGGTGTTAGCGGGGATAGGGGGGAACCTGAGGCTGGGGTCGCACGCCTGCCTGTCCTGCAGGCTGGACGGAACCAGGACCAGACCTCTGGCTTCTTTCTTGGGCGACTGCTCACCATACCTTCCGCACTCGGTTTTCTCCGTCCTGACCTCGGAAGTGACGGGGTCCAGATAGGTGATGTTGACAAAAGCGGTGTACCACTCCTCTTTCTCTGCAACCGTAAAGTCCAAGCACAGCAAGTGCACGAAACAAAACGACAGCAGCCACGTCGAGAGAGCCAGACTGCGGCAACATTGGATGAGGGACGGTGCCATTGTGCGGCTGCTTTTGGGGTGGATGGTCCTTGGTCCGGGTCTCCGCCTTACTGGAAAGCTCCCACCCCGTCCCTCTTTTTACCCCCAAACCTTAACTTTGCATAAGAGCCAGTGCCGGACACCAGCTCTCATGGAAGCTGTCCTAAAAGAGTTTGTGAGCTACGTGTATGAGTCTGCTACACACCACCACCTGCAGGAAAAAACGACTCGGTGTGTGTGTGTGTTGTTGTTCACCGTCAGCTGTTTCGCTTCCTCGTTCAGGATTGGCTCATCGCTCATCATCATGTGACCTGGGCGTGGACACGATGGCCCCTGACGACCCATGGCATGTGTGAACTAAACAGAAATACATCATTTTAATCCACTGCCACATGAATGCATTCATATCATCATAAGAGTTTAAGCTATAATGCTTTCCATTATTGTTTCTGCATTCATTGGGTTTGATATGTTGGAACAAACTGTATTTTTTGTATTTTTTATGTTGAATTTGTATTCCATTTACTTATCATGTGTTATCATCTGACAATATTTATTATAAAAAAAACATTGATACTTGATACTAATCATCAATAATATCAGGAGTAAGATGTGAATTTATTTAACAGGGAAAATGGATAGTCTAAAGTTTAACAGAGGGTGTTTTATTAAAATATTATTGCTCACCTATACATTATTTCATCTATTTTAATTATATTCATATCTCTGCTATATCTCTACCATTTTCAGTACTTGTAAGCTACTTTATACATTTTTCCTACTTTAACTGACGCTTATCTTCATACAGTATATTGTATTCATATACCTTTTGGGTAGATATACATATTGAATTTAGTGTATATATATATATATATATATATATATATATATATATATACATTTCTGTGCTTTTTGCCCCTCTGGTTAGACCATAGAAGCTTTATTTAAAGCCCATGGTAGAAGTAAGGGAACACGGAACCAAAAGAAGGAACAAAATATCGGCATTCTGTTTCAGACCGGACACATTTTCTGGACGGACCTAAGAGAAGTTGGGAGCGCCGATCATTTCGGTAAAAAATGCAAAAACTCTGACTCTTATATTTTAAATGACACCTATATTTGACATTCAGGAACATTGATGTTACTTCTGGACAACCTACATATTACATGTAAACAGCTAATACTAAAGTTAATGTAAAATATGTACCATGTGATTCTACGTGTCCTGTCTGCAACAGCTAGCTAACAAATACGTTATAAACTAATAATTGGTGATCGTACATGTGTTAGCGTTCTAGAATTATCTGAACCTTACTAATATGATTCCGTGTGTGTTTATTGACAGTAGAAGCCAAATAAAGCACTTAAAGGAACTTCCAAACCGTGACCTGGCTCTTAAGATTTTCATTGCCATTTCTACTGTAGCTACTGTGCATATGACAATACTGAACTCGTGTTCCGTGTTCCCAGGTTACCAGCCGTTATCCCCGTGAAAACCAACCGTTAAACCAGTCCGTAGCCTGATTGAAACGATCCAAAGATGCCCAAAAAGAAAACCGGTGCCCGGAAAAAGGCCGAGAGCCGAAAAGAGCGAGAGAAACAGTCCCGAGCCAACCGGGATGTGATCGACGTGGCCAAGCATCCCTGCAACTTCACCATGGTGTGTAATTTAAAACATAATTTCACCCATCAAAGTATCCGAAGTACTGTTTCTTAAACATTTTTTTTCCCATATTTTATTATACTGTACTCACCTTTTATACTGTACTCAGTTTCTCACATATGTATAGTATGTGTAAATATTGTCTTATTTTTCATTTGTTCAAGTAGATTTTAAAATAGCTTTTATAATAATACTTATTTTTGCTAATTTCTTTAAAACAAAGTATTATTTATCCTGTGTCTGTGTAATTACACCAAAGCACATTTCTCGTATTTGTAAACCTGCTTGGTAATAAAACTGATTCTGGTTATTTTGTAACCCTTCAACCTTCTGTTTTTGCAGGAATGCGACAAATGTCAAAGGTAGGTGACTGAATCGTATTATACACTTTCATTCAGGTATATCGGGTGAGCTTGTTAACAAACATGTGTTTCTCCTTGTTATGTCATCTGGTAGAAAACAGAAGAACAGAGCTTTCTGCTACTTCTGTAATTCAGTGCAGAAGCTTCCTATCTGCGCTCAGTGTGGTGAGTAAACTGTGTGGTATGTTTACATGTATGTTATAATGTTTATTTAATCTTACTATCATTTTACTGGTTGTGTCATCTCTCAAATCTAACAATCATCTATAAGCTGTGTGTGGTCATGGTCATTTACCTCTACTTAGACATCTATCTTTAGAAATAGATAAATCAACAATCATTATTCAAACATTAGTAAATTATTCATGGGTTGGGTACTTCGTTCAGACATTAATTTGATGCTTGACTGACTATTTACAGCACAGTCACAATGAAGGAATAGTAATATAGGATAGCCATGTAAAATAAAGGTTGCAATGCGGCACCACAGAGGTCCATATAAGAGTTTATTCCCTAAAGAAGGGTCATGTTGAAAAAAAAAAAAAATGCTGATCCTGCAATTCTAATAGTGCATCCAACTAGCCTTACATGAAACCCTCCCTAAAAGGCACACTAAATGTCCATGTATTTAAATTCCCACACTTCTACATCCTCATGTATCACATTAGTGGAGTACACTTTTAAAAACAGTGTGTGTACTGGCGCCACCAAGTGTTGGGATTTAAAAATACACTTTTGTAAACAGCAGTGCATTTCAATGATGTACTGCAAAAACGTTCACCAACATAAGGCACTAAACACACTAAAATTGTCCAACAGGGGTGTTAAAAAAAAACCTCATGAATAAACTATGTAATGCTTAATGCTGTTTTCTTTTTCAGGCAAAACCAAGTGCATGAAGTCTTCAGATTGTGTCGTTAAACATCCTGGGCTCCACACCACTGGAATGGCCATGGTGGTAAGTTATCAACAGTTCTGAAAAAATATAATCATGTGGCAAATATGCCTTTTCTGCTTTGACCAATCTGCGCTTATCCATCCTTATGTGCTGTTGCAGCGATGTAAGAGTAGATACAGTACTAGTTGTGGGTAGTATTTTAAAATAACTTTAAAATAAATCAATTTGGTTATTTTCATTCAGAGAAGTGTTTGCAGGATTGCTTTTATTAAAAAAAAATGTTTTTATTGTGATGTCTGTGTTTATGCAGCAATGTCTTCAATCAGAATCTATTTTTATTACAGGATTATCATACAGACATGTTAGATTAGTTGTTGAGAGGCATAGGATACAGTGAGTAAGTGTATTGTCACCACTAGAGAGCAGGGTTGCGTTCGAATACTCCAAAAAAACAGCTCCTAAGTTCTAACCCTATCGTCTATTCCTTGACCTCGGAGTGAAACGTCATGGGGTTAAGGGATAGTGGATAGGAGAATTCAAAAGGATTTAGGAGAAGAGACTGCGGTACTTTAGAGAATCCGACTGCACTTTCACTATCTGACGTGTTTATGACGCGCCAGCAGAGGTCATAAATGTGCGCCTGCTGCTGTGGGGAAACTATGGAAACTACAGTTTTCTATACAGCGGACTACAACATGGATGTTTAATAAGAACGAGGGACTACTGTAAACTCATCTAGAGACTCTGCACCGTGCTCTGATGCTGTTGCTTTATGCTTTATGAACGGGGACAACAGAGAAACATATTCTTCATGACCAAAGTTGGAATTGAAATAAAAAAGGAAAGTGAAACTTATGCTTGTCACCCTCTCCCTCCGGTCCACATTAATACAAATGATCCCAATACGTATGATTGTATGAAAAGATCTTAAAACCAATACAAATGTATTTATTATAAACGTTAGTCCTTAACATCTATCACTGTGTATATCACCATTCAAACATCTTTTAAAAGTTGAACAAACCCCACACAGCTCAGTAAAGACTGTGAAATGTTGACTTTATTTGATCATTTCAGTAAAAACTAACGTTCATATTTCTCTTTTTGATTATAATACTGATGAACGTTCAAAACAAAGCACTTTGGCAACTTACCACATACGTTTTAAAATGCTTAATAAGCACCGTAACTTTCATGATATCATTTCTCGTTCATAATCGGTTGTTTCCGTGGACGGCCGACTGTTGTGTGACGGCAAATGCCGCGGCCGCAAGGCATTGTGGGGCAGCATTTTCTCCTCTCCTTTCGGTTAGGGAGGTCCAGTTGTTCCTAGGCTAAAGGAGGTTATAAAGGAAGTTTGAAACCTCCTTTCCTTTTAATTTAGAGAATTCGAACGGCACTTATCATGGCTGCCACTGAGGGACTTCCGGGTCATTTCACTCCGTTAGGAAGGTTCCTAAGCTAAATGGACTATTCGAATGCAACCCAGGTGTCCAGTACAACTTCACCTCCTTGTCCCAGTCATGCACTTTCTGTGTTGCTTGAACCCAGAAGTATTGGCCATTGCCCCTAGAGGCTAAATGACTGTCACACCAATAGCATATTAGTTGTGAGATTTATAGTGGCTTAAAGAAATTGCAAAGTTTTCCTTTTTTTTCTCACTGTACTTTTGTTCTTTACCACAAGGGGGCAGTGTGTGACTTCTGTGAAGCTTGGGTGTGCCACGGCAGGAAATGTCTGAGCACTCACTCCTGTGTGTGTCCTCTGACGGATGCAGACTGCATCGAGTGTGATCGTGCTGTCTGGGACCATGGTAAACCCCCCCTACCCCATTTTAAATTCACGCGGCCACATCACTGTCAAACTCAGAATGAACTCTGGCTGTTTTTACTTTCTGAATAGGAGGGCGAATCTTCCGCTGTAGCTTCTGTAGCAACTTCTTGTGTGAGGATGATCAGTTTGAGCATCAGGCAAGCTGCCAAGTCCTCCAGGCAGAGACATACAAATGTGAGTCATTTGGTTTTGCTTTCCCAATGTCATTCATTAGCGCTCTGTGGAAAATAATGTCTAGAGGGAAAGTTAATTTTTACACTTTGTTTTGGCTTTTCCCATTTCAGGTGTTTCCTGTAACAGACTGGGACAACACTCCTGTCTGCGCTGTAAGGTGAGGGGACATATATTATTATTTCAGAAAACACAATAGAGGGATGTCCTAGTTTTATTGTCGCTACTTGTAGCTACTGAGGTTGCTGTTAAAATATTTACATACTGTAGAACTACTGCCATCTTATCAGCTCACATCATAAATAGTTTCCACAACAAATAACCCACATCTTATAACTGATAAGACAGTTCAAATATATTGCTCCTTTTCCTTTGCTTTTAATTTTAGTTGACCTAAAAAAAGGTAATATTCCCGACGTGCAAGCAACATTTAAGATTAAAACAAGAAACGAGTTAAACACAGCAGGAGAGCGCTCCAATCAGATAAAACGGAACTCCCCAATTGTGGCTGAAGCTGCGGCCAGGAGTTTATTTCTCATCTTTTGAAGCAGTACGCATAATATTTATACCAGACATGTGCTCTGATCTGTTTGAAACGGGTTGGTTGTGTAACTGTCATGTGAGGGTCACCAACAGGACATTTATCACATAGCAGCTTTATCTATAACATGCACTCGTGGCCCAGCAGCTCATGATATCACTTGGCAAGGACTTCATACTGATACAGCACTTTACTTACATATATTCAGCATTTTATTCTAGGTGAATTGGACGTGCTTCACATGAAATGTAAACAAGAAGAGGCCCTATGTAGAGAAGAATAACAACAACAAAAAAGTTGACAAAGGCAACACACACACACACACACACTCTATCTCTCTCTCTCTCTCTCTCTCTCTCTCTCTCTCTCTCTCTCTCTCTCTCTCTCTCTCTCTCTCTCTCTCTAGCTTGGATAAATATGGCTCTCTAGCTTGGATAAATATGGCTCGATATGAATCAGCCAAAACACTGTTGAATGTTTCTTCGTCCTAGACATCCACTGCCATTTTCACTGTTGAATACATAGCTATTATACCATCTATTCTACACTAATGGAACAGCCACATAAATGGTGGCAATTTGTTCTTTTCAGGAGAGGTTAACATTTGAGCAAGTCAGTCTTAAAGCAATACTTGTGTACTCATATGGAGGTTTAAGGAGTTATTCTTGGTTATACTTATTCCTCCTTGTCATACTACATAGAAGAGTAGGATGCCTTCTTAAAACGACTTAATTGTCAGTCTAGTTTGCGTCTTTGTCCTACTAATCCTAGCTTTAAAAGATTAGTAGCAAGCGTTAACTAAATAAAGTCTGTTAACAATAATACAGCCTTTTATAAGAAAACAAGTTTGGTCAATTTTGTCTTCATCATAGACATAGAATGGAAATAGGATGGATTTGTTTTATCTCAGTGAACAGCAGATAAACAGCTGGTATATATTGTCCATTGCAGGTGACTCTCTATACTTGAGGCCAGAGAAAAGGAGGACTTGAATACTTTGCTTAAAATAGATGTGTCATCTAAATGAGCCTGAACCCTCGTTGGATTTGGATTTCATATTCCAGCTCAGAATACCCCTCATACATTCAGATAACGTGTGTGCTGTGAACTTTTCCATGTGATGATTTAAATCTCATTTCAACTGTGTCCCATCAGGCCTGTTACTGTGACGACCACGCCAAGAGTAAGGTCTTCAAACAGGAGAAAGGCAAAAACCCCCCCTGCCCCAAGTGTGGTCACGAGACCCAAGAGACCAAAGATCTCAGCATGTCCAGTGAGTCTCGAGTGGATCTTCAAGTAGAGGAAGGGGCCCGCACCCTTCCTTGCTGCATTGTGATTTCAGGAACTAAACTTGTGTACAAAACAATCAAGGAGATTTGTTTTGTCCTCCAACCTAAATAAGAAACAGAGCTGTTATTTAGTTTTTACTCAGTGAAGAGACTATTTTCCTAATCCTTTAGTCTTTCAGTAATCTGTTGGTTTAAACAAAAGTATTGACTTTTTAGGAAAACAGATGCTTAGTCTCGTGACTTGAATGCTACAGTAATACACATTAGGAACCAATCCTAAACGTTTGTACATACTGCATTCATCTGTAATGGTTTCCTTCAATCTTACGGACTTGTTGGCTAATTTCCCATCCAGTAAGTGAAACCAGAGCTAATGTCTCCTCTGTGATCTCCGCAGCTCGCACGTTGAAATACGGCCGGCAGGCTGGAGCTGATGAAGAGGATGATGATGAATACGGAGCGTCAGGGTACGACGCCTACTGGAAGAACCTGGCATCTGGAGGAGACCAGCAGAGGGTCTACGATGATGAGGACGACGATGATGACGACGATGATGATGACGACGAAGACGATGAGGAGGAAGATGATGATGAAGAAGATGAAGCTGTAGAGGAAAAGGCTGTAGAGGAAAAGGCTGCAGTGGAAAAGGCTGCAGTTGCCGTGGCTGGTCTTAAACTGGAATGAGCTGGCACAATCCCAAAACATCCTCTGCAGATGTTCACTTGTTACAGCGCAGTAAAGCATAGAGATAAACATAAAGAGGTGGTATAGTTGAAGCTGGGTGTCCATAATACAAAAAATACAATTTGGCACATTTAGTATGTATCTAGGCTAAAATTGGATGAGGGGGTAATAGTCCAAGAAAGACAAAAACTCCATGAATATACTCATTGCACTCTGTAAAATTAAGGTGGTCATCTGCTCTGTAGATATCTTCAAATTGGTGATATGGTAATGCTGGTCTAAAATCAAAAGTAGCTAAATCCCAACATGCAGTAAGGTCTGTGATGTCATGAGGTTGATCCAACGTGAAAACATCTGGTAACCTTTCAAAAGAAAACCTCATTGTTTTCCCAATTTATTTAGCAAATGTATGATTTTATAATTCCAGATAATTCTTAGTTTCTCTATCGGTACTGGACAATTTTGATCTGGGAATTTCAGAGTTTTTTTCTGCCAATATTAGCTCCTTCCTCCGACTGTATTAAATAAAGGTTTTACCGCAAATGGCCCCAATACGCTGTCACACCCATCCTTAAGACAACTTGATGTTACATGCAACGTGTATATTTCGTCACAGGTCCCCTCCCCAAGACAAGATACAGACCCGCGCAGTGTGAGGCTCCTGAAGTATTTTTTTCCAACTATAAATACTCATGTCATAGCATAAGCGATTGCCAACTTTATCAGAACTTGACCCATGATATGAGTTCATTTAAACAGCAGTTTGACCTTTCACACAAAACACTTATTTTCCGCTTGTTTGTTATCAGGGGCACATAAGATGATTCATACACACACCTCGTCCTTGTTAGCTTCTTCTTCTGATGCATTCTGGGTAGTTGGTCATATTTTCTACTGAAAAATCAACTTTTATCATTTTATTGTAATTCGGTATATTCCCTAACAAAGTAGCAGTTATGAAATCTTCATAAACCACACACACAATCTGTGTTTGGTTGGTTATCAAACCATGTTACAGTTAGAACTAACTTTATATCATGTTGTATTCACAATGTCTTTGCTGTGTAATACATGTTGATCTGCTGAGGAGTTAATGTTTCATAGTGTGCTGATCTGATTGGGCTTCACTGCTTCAATGTAACACAAAGGTTGTTCCAACAGCATAACCTATTTGCCCTGATCCCTGTAATGCATTTGTGAAGACATGTTAGTGTAAAAATATTCCATTAAATAATACTATTGGAGTGATCATTTCCAAATGGCAGAGATTGGTTGTCATCTTTTGTGGACTGAGTGACTGACTGAACTTTGAACTTTTATTCTGACATGGAGATGAACAAGTAAGCGTAATGTCTCATCTTTATTATATATAAAGGTTTAGATTAAATACAACTGTAGTGTCATTGCACAGAGAACAACCAACACAGTTTGCATACAAACAAAGTGCAAATATTTATAAAGTGCATTAGTTTTCAGTTAATTCACAGAAAAAACACATGGTGAGCTCTATGGTTTTGATTATTATTATAGAATATTATTATCAATTTGTATTATTACCACATACATTTAGAAGCATTTTACTGGTGTCAATAAGCCACTTTTAAATACTTGGGTATTACTACTGGGTAATTTAGTAGTACAGTACTGAAAAATATAAGCTTAATGGGTTTTTACATTTTAAACACAGTAAAAATAGAGCAGTAACAAGTACAATATTTCCCTGTGCAGCTAAAGTTTAACGTTTTTTAAAATGGGAATCCTGAAGTAAAGTATGACAGTAGAGGAGAGTACTTGAGGTTGCTGTCCACTGCTGGTGAGTAGTGCTGTGGGAGGAGTGAACTTCGGCAGCATGACGCGCAGCGGCGGGGCAGCAGGGCGTCGGTCTCTGGAGCGACATCTGGACCGCAGTCCCGCTCCTCGGAGCCGCTAATACCACCACGACCCATGAGACTAAAGAGCTTTCTAGGAACAAGTTAAATGCAAACATGTAATCTCGGATTGATGCTCCACTGGGTAGGAGAGAGACCTCTGCACAGATGATAGACTTCATGACGGCTTTCCCGGTAATCCTCGTCGAGCCCACATGCCACGGAGACCTGCGAGCGGTGAGCTGACTTTCTGTGTTCGTGTGTGTACTAAATTAAACCAGATCTAACTCAACTACACCTCAGGTTTAAACTTATAGCAGAAACAATTTTAATGAAGCAGGGCTAAAAAGTGTCAACATTTACAACGATGGGAAATAACTGGTGCGTAATAATCGGGGGTGTGTCAATTTGGTGATCCACGTGCGTCCATGCCGGAGAAATGTCAGCTGCTGTCAGTGAATCAGGATCCTCTGTGATTATTTGGTTGTTACCAAACTAATCACCAGTATGGTGAAGGGTTTAGTTTCACTTTCAGTTTGTGCAGTGATCTGCTTCACCAAGCCACTCCTTCCGTCTTGAGGTTGATACTGTAGCGACGACATGAGGTTGCGTAATCACAGGCAACAAACACACACAGGTGTCCAAAAGTGTGTGAGGAATGATCGAGTAACACGTGCACGTTTACGCATTTATTTATGTGTAGACCTACAAGTCCTGGGAGAGTAGCTACTTGTCCTTTTACTTAAATCCTCTCAGAAGTCAGTATTGATAATTGAGTATTATCAAGTATTGTTGTGCGTTTAATCTAAAAAAAACTAATCATAATATATTGTGTTTTCTTGTAACATCTTAATGTGAAAAAACCCAGCTACAAGATAGATAAATGTAGAAAAGAATCAAGCAAATATTTCCCTCCAAAATGTAGCAGAGGTATAAAAAAAAGCATAAATGGAAATACACAAGTAATAGTGCAAGTAAATTCCTCCTCTGTCTATTATAGATTTCAAAGGGAAATATTGTCAATTTTTACTCCACTACTTTACTAGGACATAAAGTTATTCTGCCGACTCTGATTTCACATTGAAACAAGTCATTATCTTCTAAAAGACTTGATGAATCATTGCATAGTTCTCATTAAATACAAGTCTTTGTGCCCCTTGATTTGCCAGGGAGGAAACTTTCACATTACATTACATGTTATTTGTTAGACGCTTTTATCCAAAGCGACTTATATACATTCAGTACTGTGGACAATCCCCACAGGAGCAATTTGGGGTGAAGTGTCTTGCCCAGGGACACAACGACGTGCTGACTGCAGTGGGACTCGAACTTGCTATCCCCTGATTCGAAGTCCAGCACACTGTCCACTGAGCCACAGCCGCCATTAAATCTCAAATATAGGCGTGCACGTGTCTTATGTGTTGCAACATATTTTGAGGGAAATCAACAATTCAGTGGCAGTGTAATACCGGTGCAAATTGTAAGTAGGAGACGTGTCTTGCAGAAATTAACAATATTTAGTAGCTTCAGGATTCTTTTGCTGTTTAAGTTTTTCTCTGTTGGAGCCTTGCATGCATTCACATAATTTTTAATAACTTCTGATTATTTCCACTCAGCTCTTTTTACCTTTCAAACAACATTTCACTTTGCATTGAAACAAGAAATTAAGTTATCATACCTTCAGAAGTTACTGACTTCTCTTAAAGGTAGGGTAGGTAATTCACTTCAGAAACACTTTTTGTTATATTCCATGGAATGCTCTTAACATCCCGATAGCAATGAATACATTAAATGCTTTGACAATAAATACTTACAAAAAATGCATCTGTGGAAGCCGTAGCGTTTAAAAAGCACGACCAATCATCTGAGCTGGCCCGGCTAAAATAACTGGATGGCCTACCTGCTTGTCAGCCTTCCATCTCGTGCACAAATGTATCTCGTGCCCTCATTGGTCATGTGCACGTTCGTGTGTGTTGGAGGAGGGCCTCTATAAGGAAGTCTGAAGGAAGGGGCAGATTTTCTTCGGCTGCGTACTTTCAAATTCTAGCGCACTCGAGCTGGTTTCTCCATTCTTACCGACCCTACCTTTAACTTCTCACACAACTGCTGAGAACAAAATGTGTTCAACTCTTCAGCTTCACTTCAGAGTCACACAACTATCTGAACAATGCAACTGTCCCAGATGTACCACTTTGTGCATTACCTCATGTTAAACCAGTGTATTTGCTGCATTTTTAAATAAGTAACGGAAACAGTAAGAACAGAGCAGGATTTCCTGCTTCATGTGAGAAACTTTTCTCTATTTAATATTATCAGAAACTGGGTATGTTTAGATTTTTTTTTACAATTTTCTGACACTTTATATATTGTACAATTACTTGATCAATTCAGATCAAAGTCAGCTCATTAAGGAAAGGTGTACAATGGTGTACATCTGCTCTCCATGTGACTGTCTGATTGGCTTTCTGCCACTTCAACATCTAATAAATCCCAACAGAATGCATTGAGGAAACACCTTGGTCTTCTTTTGTTTTTTTTTACCAGAAGCGGGTCACACCTACCATTGTCTTCAGTGACGCAGAAGTAGAAATTTCATTCAGATTTCTTTCATGTACTCTCTGGCTAAATGTCATAAAACTAACCTACTTAAACAATGCAACAAAAGGTTTACAGATCATGAACTCTAAAACAACATGTCACCTGCACGGGTAAACACAATTACAATAAGGCAAACTGATCTCTACTGCACATTTCTCAAACTTGTTGGCAATAATGAGTTACAAACACTCGCACAAATGACTGCAGGGAGACAAGAATCTCGGGAAAATCCTTATGCGTTTTGAACTTGGAAACATTGTGTTAGGCAGAGGAGGGCCAAAGTGGTGGTCATGGATGGCAAATGGCACCTAGTGATGGGAATTCCGGCTCTTTTTAGTGAGCCGGATCATTTGGCTCGGCTCACCAAGAACAGCCGGCTTTTTCGGCTCCCAAAGGGCTCTTCATTTTACCACATATACCTTTTATAATTCAATCAAATGTAGCCCTGTTTGACAAAAGATTTATATGTGTCACTTAAATTATTCAATACATCCTTTGTACTGAAGTATTCAAAACCTCATTGTTTTCCCAATTTATTTTGCAAATGCATGATTTTATAATTTCAGATCATTCTTAGTTGTTTATCGGTACTAGACAATTTTGATCTGGGAATTTCAGAGTTTTTTTCTGCCAATATTAACTCCTTCCCCCGACTGTATTAAATAAAGGTTTAACCGCAAATGGCCCCAATACGCTGTCACACCCATCCTTAAGACAACTTGTTTTCTCCTATGATGTTACATGCAACGTGTATATTTCGTCACAGGTCCCCTCCCCAAGACAAGATACAGACCCGCGCAGTGTGAGGCTCCTGAAGTATTTTTTTCCAACTATAAATACTCATGTCATAGCATAAGCTTTCTTTGAAAGATTTGCCGTCATCCAAACATTTGGAACAAAGCTGAAGGTTTATGTTATGATCAATACTTTTCATATTTCAACTATGTCTTGGTGGTATCATGTAATTTTTCAATTGGTCAGTTTGAAGGGGCCGAAGGGTCTAAATACTACAATACCCATAAGCCTCAGTTGCATGCCAAATAAAAGCGATTGCCAACTTTATCAGAACTTTACCCATGATATGAGTTCATTTAAACAGAAGTTTGACCTTTCACACAAAACACTTATTTTCCGCTTGTTTGTTAGCTTCTTCTTCTTCTGCCCCTTCCTTCAGACTTCCTTACAGAGCCCCTCCTCCAACACACACAAACGTGCACATGACCAATGAGGGCACGAGATACATACAATACATCCTTTGTACTGAAGTATTCAAAAGTAAAAATTACATTTTGAATATAAATGATTTGCTGTGGCCAATTGTTTTCATTGCATTTACAGACCCTTGTAACTTTCTGATACCACCCAAAGAATGTAGAACCACGCTACACAAAGCAGATAGCAACACCTATAAAAACTTTAGCATAGACATTTAAAAAAAGGGCAGCTACTGTATCGACATTTTAAAATTGTATTTAAAGAAAAAGCCCCAACAAAACAGCAACAGCTGAAATCAAATCTTTGCTGAGTATAAAATAAAAAACTAAATATATTGCAATGTGCAAAACATCAGCATCCAACCGTCTCTAATCCTTGGATATTACATGTCACTGCATGCATGCACGGAGCACCCATAGTGCGGAAATCATCATATCATTCTGTCTTGTATTACTTAACAACAAAAAAACAACAACAAAAAACGTCTCGTTCGCGACCGACACATCACTAATGGCACCCTCTTATGACCCCTACCAGATTCAAAAGGTGATTGGTACATCTGTTGTTGGAGAATCAAACTAAAAACTAAAGAGGACGCAAATTGGCAACAAGGAGACAAAACAGCTACAAAGATGCAACATTGACACCAAGAGACACAAAACAACCAGAAATATTCGCAAAATGGCAACATACAGTAGTTTCAAAACAACCACAAAGTTGCAGAAATATATGTAGAGGCACCCACAAAGACGCAAAGCAACCACAGAGAGACACGAAAAAAAACCAAAAGACCGCAAAGAGTGGCAAAAAAACAACAACAAAGATGCAAAGCGATCACAGAGATGGGACCAGTTCAAATTTCAATATGTTTGTAGACGGAAATTCACAATCCAGGGACTGACTCACACAGTCACGCAATACGTACTTGAAGCCCTGTGCAGTCTGTTATTGAAGGGAAGCTGCCAACACTAAGTCAATATCAGCAGCACTAAAACAAATGGATGCTTGTTGGCAAATTCAGAACCAAGCTGACTTTACTATGAAGGTAGATATGGTGCAAAATGCGAGAGCGTGTAAAACCTGATGTGAGCGCTTACAGAACAAAAATCTGAGCTTGTGTGCATACATTTACACTTGTATAAAAATATCCACGTATCTGTGATTTGAAGTCACAGAAGAAAAAAAAAGTTTTGTAGCTTGTAGAAAAAAAATGAACTTAGTGATGAAATGTTCACTTGCAGAAAAATATATATTTTTTAAATATATTTTCCATTACAACTGCAACTTGGTTATTACAACCTCTCAAATCAGTCATTACAACTTCACGAATCTGCTCTGTGGCAGTATAAATCGACGAATCTGCGGCCTTGACTTTTGATACACTTCTTGCGATGAATGTGTCGCAAAAGTCATTTTCACCTGTAGATGTGGGGGGAGGGAGGGGGGTTGGAGCGAAGGAGCGGAGCTATCAGAACGAGGAGGCCCATTGTGTTCTTTTTAACCAAATATCTCTCAGAGGGGCGTTGGGAGTGGCTCCTTATTTTCATCTAAAGTAACAGACAGAGAATCGGCACTTTTGAAACAGGGCTGAAACAGAGGGGATTATGGGATGCTGCAATGATCTGTTTGGTATTTTGAGCCAAACACTTCAGAGACATGTTTTGTATATATCTGAGACCTATAATATATTGATGAAAAACAGTATAATAGGGGACCTTTAAGGAAAAATGTAGTCCCTAACCATCTCTATTTTTCTCATCAGTCTTGTTTAATAATAAACAAAATAATCTTAAGGATGAAACACTAACACTTCCTTGTTTTATTTTGTTTTATTTATAGAAAGGCATCCAGTTCCATTCGACCTGTAATCTATGCAGAGAGAGCCACACAACTCAGGTCTGGCTTTGTTTCTTAGTTCTGAGGTAGGCATACAGTGTGTGACCTGTTTTCTAACTAATGTATTGCTTATTAAATATAAAAATACACTTACCAAAGACAACACAATAGGTAAGTCCCTCTACATTATTCAAAAGAGAAAACATTACCAACAAAGGATCCTTTTCGTGTTTAAAGTAATGCTATAAAAAGCAATGTCATGTACAGTTCTTTCCTCAGATTGAAAATGAGAACACATCCTGTATAACTTGATATCACTCATCTATTCGAGTATAAATGGCTTGTTAATACTGGTAAAGTTCCCTGAGAAGATTACCTGCATTACTGTAAAAGATGATATTGTAGAAGTTGTTAGAAAATAGAGATAAATAACTTCTATCTTTGACAACACAATGTGTGTCGTTTATTTACTAGTTACTCTAAACATTTTATAGAAACACACAGTGTAATTGTGAAGGTGAAAGAGCAAAGAGAATAAGTTGATCACTAGTTTTTATTATTATTGTATTGTTATTTTGTGATCAGTGTCTCTTCATTCTCTTGAAGCTTCCTGAGTACATCTCCGTGTGCTGCCTCTTTGCCAGAGACACGTGAATTACAGATCTGCTTTGATGGTCTGAGAGAAGCCATTAAGGTGAGAGAAGGTATTAAAAAATATATATATATCTATTTCAATGTTTATCTATGAATAGTATCATAAAATAATGTGTTAAACCATCATGTTTTTACGTTTACTCATACTTTGTTGGCATCTTATTAAGCCTTAGTCGTTTATTTCTGTACGTCCGTCACCCCATTAGTCTGAACAAAATATCTAAGGAACACCTTGAGGGAATTTCTTTCAATTTGGCACAATTTTCCTCTTGAACTCAAGGATGAACTGAGTATATTTTAGTTGTTAAAGGTACAGGTCACTGTGACTTCACGTCCAATTTTCTTGATATTTCCGGAAAGCCTCAAGCTGATTTCTTTGAATTCGGCCAATGATTCAATATTCATGGTGAAAGACCAGTGACATCACAAAACAGATTTTGGACAATGACTAAAAAATGTGTATCCTAATTATAATGTAAACCGATTAGGGCTGTCAACGCGTTAATAACGCGTTAACGGAATTATTTTATAACACAAATTATTTTAACGTGCGATTAACGCATGTGTATTTGTCCTCGGCCCGCCCCGTTGTTTCAGAGCCCAAAGGCTTGACGTTGTTGTTGTTGTTGTTGTTAGTTGGATGGTGGATTAGATTCTAGCGAGAGATATGGATACAAAAAAAGGTGTTTTAAACAGCAAGCCAAGCACAGAGCTGATGCTGACAGCCCCGCTCCTGCCACTCGCTTGCGGCAGACCACGCTTGAAAGTTTGCCGGGGAGACGCCTGAACACGGCGTCTACGAGCAGCAAGCTTTCAACAGCGATAGCTAAATGGGTGGCTACAGCTTGCAGGGCAATTAACATCGTGGAGGACGAGGGACTGTGTGAGATAATTCGGATCGCATCCAACGTGTCGACTGCACATCACAGCGCATTATTTTGACCCTAGTTGGGAACTTCAGTTTCATGCTTTGACTGTTATGAAGACAGAGGAGCGGCATTTCGCAGACAACTGTAAACAGGCTTGTCTGTTTGAGCAACTGGCTCAGTGCAAAGAAGTAGACAGGGTTGGGAGAGAGTGTAAGAGAGAGAGGTTCCAGGTTGTTGTATTGAAAATATTCAGGAGAATATTTGCCATTGTTCCAATGATAATAAACAAACATTTGCATAAAGCATATTTGTCCACTCATATATTGATAAGAGTATTAAAAGCTTGAAAAATATTCCTCTAAGGTACATTTAGAACAGATAAAAAATGTGCGATTAATTTGCGATTAATCGCGATTAACTATGGACATCATGCGATTAATAGCGATTAAATATTTGAAACGACTGACAGCCCTAAAACCGATGTCAAATAGGAAGAAATGATCTAGTGATGACGTACATGCTGCTTGACTGGTTGGCTAACTCTAGTTTCACCTGTAGTGGATTGTTCCTCTTGGTTTTACATTTGAAAACATTGAAATGTGTGTCTAATCTGAGTCTTTCTTTCCCATTTTCAGAATTCTAGCGCTATGCTGTATGCTCCTAATGAAGTAATGAATGACGTTGAAGTAAGTTGTAAAAGTACATGATACAATTATTGTTTTTAAATGACAAAATAATTTCACATGTCGACAATAAAAACGTAAAAGATGCTTATTGATTGTCTATTTTTCGTATCGTCCTAAAAGTAAGTATAAAGTATCCAGTATTTCAGCCATTCAAAAAAATAAGTATAAAGCCCTCCAGTTATTGAGATTAGCACCACATTGATGTTAGCTAAAAGAACATGTTGTGTTTATGCCACATAAAAAGTGATATGCCCTGCAGCCTTGATACTGCCGATTGAGCCATATCAAAGTTGTAAACACTGTGTACATAACGAGAGGTGGGATTGTGTGTCTGGCATAAATAGCAGAAAACTGGGCTATTGACGATGATAGTTTGACACAAATGGCTCCATCCTTTCGTTAAATCATTACTACGGTGTACTTTAACATTTTTAGATGTCCTTGCTGCCTTTGGACTTGGTGTTCTGAAAAAAATTGATAACCTCGAAAGCCAAGTTGCATTCCCCTAAAATATGAAACCCAGGCCTTAGTGGTAATATTAAAAAAAACACACAACTTAAGACAGAATTCATGTTACGTCTTGATTTGTGAGCCGGATCAAGTTTCTGACTCAAAGCTGTTTAAACCTGCATGATGTGCACAAAGATCTGACACAGCCACAAAAATATGTGAATACTTGTTTATAACTGTCTTAATAAACCTAATGTGTCCATACTGAGGCATTCCTCTCTCTCCTAGGAGAACTGTACACTGATGTTGCTCAAATGTTACATGTTGGAGTTGATGATAGTCATACACGAAGAAGAAATTAAAACCATTGACGTAAACTGCATCTTTGAATTCAATCACCATTATCTGGAGAAACATAATACTGTAAGTCCTGTTTTTCTATCCACCAGGTCAACTTGCATTACACAAAGCTTCTGTGCTATATTACTGTTTGTGTTTTTATATAGATTCATGTTGATTGTGTCTTTTTGAATTTCAGGATGGCTGTCGACGACCATGTGAATCGTACCCTCTTGTAAATATTACAAGATTCTCGGAAAGACTACAAAGTTTTTTGGAAGAAATGAATAGTCGTATGCCGTAAATACTGTGAGCCACACATGTTCATTTGTAAATATCTGTAAATAATTTGTTTTTATTTTGTAAATATAATGCTACGCATGCCGTCCGGTATTTTGTATCAAAGTGAATCTAAATGTATAGAATGATTGCTTTTAACTGTACAGAGGAAGTCTCTATGTGCCACAATCTGCCTTTCAGTTGTACTGTTTAAAGAGAAGTATCAGCATCAAGTACTACTACTGTGTATACAGAATGTATAATATTATTAAGCTCATTGCTATGCACTACTGAATGTCACATTTACGCAGTATATGCCTTATGAACTCCAGTATCTTCAGAATCATTGCTTATCCAGTAAATGATATCTCAACAATTAAGTCTTTCATTGTTTTTGTGGTTCTTTTATCTCAAGCTTTTGTCAAAACTGCTTTTTAGTTCAGTCGAGTTTACATTCAGGGATTGTGGAAATTCAGATTGCATTAGCCTTATGTTTAAACAATGCAAGCGTTTGTGGTGCAGGTGTGATGAGTCCGATAGAAATGTAATATGATCCAGAATAGATCAGAGAGTTTGGTTATCAGACAGTGAGAAAACAGGATATTAGAAGTCGAGGAAGTTATCATGGTGGCTATCTCTTATCAATCATGAGGTATGAAGAAATATAAGAATCACGTCACAAAGTAATCTACTGGGAATGTGTCCTAGAATGTATTTATTGGACGAAGCAGCATCAGTCCGGATAATGTAGTACCCGGTGACCATGTGTTTTTTTTTGCAGGCTGGCCTCATATAAAAGTAATTATGGAGACATTAAGGGCTAAAGTTTGTCTGAACGCACTCACTTATCATTATCTTTGTGGTCTAACAAAATTACTGAGTGCATTTCCTTCCTCATAAAACATTTAAACAAGTAATTGTGCATTGGTTTCTTCCCTATTTGTTTGCTAGTGGTCTTCTTCTTCACAACCTTTCTTGGCACATTGCTGTTCTTCATGGTGCATTTCCATTACCAACTGGCGTAGCCTGAGGACAAGATGTGGAATGTGCTACATGCGTGCTTGCACAAATATCTGCTCATATTTGGGCATGAAACCAAAACAACAATGTGGAGTTGCTCCATAGCGCAGGTTAACAATTCGACAGGGCACCTTTAATTTGGTATGAAAGACAAAGAAAAAGGCTGATAATCCTGTGCTTCATTATATGATGCCCTTTTGGGAATTTGATACCAGAGAAATTCAATTAAAGTGAGACAAAACCACTTTAGAGATTACCTTGGAAGAAGTCCAGGTCATAGATGCCACATCAGAAAGACTGACAGCAGCCTCCTGATGTTTGTTAACTTCTTGTAAAATTACAAAAGTTCTGTTCAATGACCATACATATGTTTCTGTATGTTGTATTTAACAAAGAGCTCCGCTGAGACATGAAGCCTTTTTTTTTTTTTTAACCAACCGTGTTGCGATGAGTCATCAAACAGACTGATAATGATCACATTTCTGACGTTTCTGGAGGCAGTTTAGGCGAAGTGTTTTCAACAGTATACGAGACATCAGAGGTGAGAAGTTTTAGATGTGGCTTTGGTCTCAGGTTGGTTAAAATGTATCATTAAGAAGCTATGAGTCTTTCTATAACTGCCAATTGAGGGAAACAACGCTTATTTTCTTTTCAACTGAAAGACATTTCATGTTACATACTGTATATCATACATTTGGGCAGAAATACCAATGTTGGCAATTTGTAACAATGACTCACCATTACTAAAACTGACTCACACATTGAGTCTAGCTATACTTCCTTTTTTCTGCTGCTGCTGAAGGACCAATTGACGATCTTTCAAACCACCGTTTAAGTCTAAAAGCTGTACATATTTGATACTTAAAATATGTATTTCTTTATGAGGTATTCAGTTTTAGTGTTGGGGATTCAAGGTTTTTATTCAACATGCAATTTTAATACATATTAATCCAGAGGAAAAACATAACATTTTCTCCTGTGCTTGACTGCAGCATTTGAATTAAAATGTGTGTTTAACTAGTAGAAGTTACCTTGTGTGCACACCTGTGAATTTGAATGTAAACCATGCACAAAACATCATCACAAATATCCACATCAATTCATTGTTTTATTTAATGTCAAATAGAAATGTTCATATGCCAAATGAACAACACAGCCAATACATTTCAAACATGCATTAAAGCCCAAGGTTTCAACACTTAGAATATAAAAACATTTTAATGTACTGTAGTGGCAAACTTTATATGTTACCTAATATGGTAACACCAAATTCAGCAGTTCCATGATGATGTATTCAGTTCATGTCCTTTAATAATAATAATAATAATAGCTTGGATTTATATAGCGCCTTTCATGGGACCCAAGGTCGCTTAACAAAGAAGAATAGTGCAGAAACAAACATAACAAAACAAAAGGCAGTCAGACTGTTACGTTCCCTCCAAAATCTAGGGGTACGAAGGGGAGTAACAAAACACAGAACGACCAGCACGAGAAAAAAGAGAGGAAACTGATCTCTTTGTTCACACATGAGATTTAATTCAACAATAATGGACAACCAGGTCCCACACAGAGACCCAAGACGACGTGCTGCACCCATGCAGCCAGAGGAGGAAAGGAGGCCCACTGCAGACTTCCTCAGGTCCTTTAAGGAAGACCCTGATTGGGGATTGGGAGCACCTGGGAGAGAGGCTGCACCTGGAGACAATCAGGCTGCACCTGGAGAATCAGAGGGAGAGAGAGAGAAAAACACACACCCACACACACACACTACGGCACGTAACACCCCCCCCCATAAAACCAAACAAGTGTTTGGCCACAGTTACCAAAAACACTCAGACCACTGGACATGAATCGTGACCCACTGCAATCGCAATCTCACCCACAGCACCGTACATCGGCCACCACCTTATCTGCTCCCCTCTTGTGCTTGATGACGATATTGTATTCTGGGTGCTGGTCTTTTGACTTTTCCGTAGACTGCTTGGAAGCTGCCACCTGCTGCTTCCAAGCTACACACCCTGCCACTAGATGACCAGGATCAAGACAAAAGAAACATAATCTCTTGGGACCTCGAGTTCTGGTCAAAACACAACCTGCAAACACCTTCGGATGAGTCTGAGCTAGGTCACCACCTGCAGCACCAGGAACTGAAACGTCTACAACCTCAGCAGTAGGATACACTTTACCCCCGGCTATATCGTTACCCATTATGAAATCCACTCCGTCGACAGGAAACTTGGGCAGCACAGCAACTGGAAAGAAACCAGTAGCCAGTTTAGACTGTACCTGGATCTTGTGAAGAGGTGCAGGCACACAACCCATCCCAATACCTCTTACCACCGCACTTGCATCACAGGCAGACTCAGCACTCAAGGGCAGAACACTGGCAAGAATGAACGACTGTGAGCCACCACTGTCTCGTAACACCGTGACCTGCCGCTGGTCCTCCACTTTTCCTGACAGAGAGACAAAAGCAGTAGAGATGAACGGTTTCAAACACTCATCAGGCCCTTTGTTAACAGTGGCCCGTCCACTATGACACACTGCTGTAACCAATCCCACCCCTTCTGGGTGCTTGCCAGCCGCTGTCTGCTCTCGCTTCCAACCTGCACAGTCTGCTATCACATGACCTGGGTCATGACAAAAAAAACACACTCTGTTTAGCCTGGGATCTAACACTGGAGCACTGACACAGGGAACGTAATTGTCAGGAGCTCTACGATAAGTGTCTCGCTGAGGAGGATCACGCTGAAAAAAAACGCTCTTGTGTATCAGTGCAAACTCGTCTGCCAGAGTGGCAGCCTGCTGAAGGGTAGTTACCTTCTGCTCGTTCAGGTAGACTACCGTACGCTCAGGCACACAGTTCTTAAACTCCTCTAACATCATTAGCTCACACACTGAAGTAATGTCGTCAGCTTTACAAGCTCTACACCACCTGTCAAAGAGGACTTTCTTCTCCCTTGCGAAGTCCACGTAAGTTTGGCCAGAAGTTTTCATCAGGCCGCGAAAACGCTGCCTGTAGGCCTCAGGCACAAGCTCATATGCCCTGAGAACAGCACTTTTAACATTCTCATACACTAAACTATCCTCGACAGAAAGAGAAGAGCAAGCTTCTTGAGCCTTGCCGACTAGCTTACACTGTAAAAGAATAGCCCACACGTCTTCTGGCCAGCGCAGAGCAGCAGCAATGCGCTCAAATGCACCAAAATAGATCTCCACCTCTGATTCACGAAACACAGGGACCAAAGAAATATGCCTACTTACGTCGAAGGAGGCAGCAGGACCAGAAGATGTAACGGCAGAATCACCCCCCCCAGCTGCCTGAAGCTCTAACTGACGCATCCGGACAGCAGTGTCTGCCTCCACTTTCCTGATCTCCAGCTCCGACTTCCTGATCTCCAGCTCCCTCCTGACATCAGTGTCTGCCTCCAACTTCCTGATCTCCAGCTCCGACTTCCTGATCTCCAGCTCCCTCCTGACATCAGTGTCTGCCTCCAACTTCTTGATCTCCAGCTCCCTCCTGACATCAGTGTCTGCCTCCAACTTCTTGATCTCCAGCTCCCTCCTGAACTGAAAATCCCTATCACGCTCCTCCTTCTCCCACTGTAGACGAGCCATACGCACTTTTACCCTGGCATCTAATTTAGACCCCGTAGGTGAGGACCCTGCCGAAAACGAGTCCAACTGAGGCATGTTGAAATGTTTTCCCTGTTCCGTAGCACTCTGAACACCTGGAGTAACATCAATGCGGCCTCCACCAGGAGACTCTGCTGCTACAGCCCCGGCCACCGTTCCAGGAGTTTCCACTGAAGTAGGCAGACTCAAAACCCCCTGTTCAACTAGTCCAGTTAGCACCGTAGCCTTGAGTTCACTCTTAACAAGAGCAGAGGAGACAGAAACGTGATAATGGTCAGCAACTAACTGCAAATCAATCTTCCTACACCAGTCTAGCTGACCCACAGTAGGACTGGCCACAAACTGCTCCAAAACAAAAGCCATCCTTATCAACGGCGACTTACAATTTTTTTTTTTTTTTTTTTTCTTTTTAACAAACTTCCCCAGATCCTGCCTACCAAACTTACCTAACTATCTTCTGGAGCGTGCCGGGCTCGAGGCGACTTTAAAGGCAAACATCAGTGGCCGAAACCCTGAAACGCCTGCCCCCAACAGGGAATAAATCCCCACCCAGGATTACCCCGAAAATAAAAAAGGCAAAATAAAAAATGAGTGCCTGAAGGAAAGACTGATTAAGCCCAGCTAGACACTCCCCTATCTAAACTGAGGAAGCTTTTAAACAGCAAGAGACTTCACAGCCAATGCTACACAATATCAACGCTAAACCACAAACAGATACTCACTCTTTGTCTCAAAGATCGGACGAGCCCCCATTTGTTACGTTCCCTCCAAAATCTAGGGGTACGAAGGGGAGTAACAAAACACAGAACGACCAGCACGAGAAAAAAGAGAGGAAACTGATCTCTTTGTTCACACATGAGATTTAATTCAACAATAATGGACAACCAGGTCCCACACAGAGACCCAAGACGACGTGCTGCACCCATGCAGCCAGAGGAGAAAAGGAGGCCCACTGCAGACTTCCTCAGGTCCTTTAAGGAAGACCCTGATTGGGGATTGGGAGCACCTGGGAGAGAGGCTGCACCTGGAGACAATCAGGCTGCACCTGGAGAATCAGAGGGAGAGAGAGAGAAAAACACACACACCCACACACACACACTACGGCACGTAACACAGACAAACAGTCAGACAGACAAAACAACAGATAGATTTAGGGGCCAAAGGCCTTAGTAAACAGATGGGTCTTGAGGGCCCTTTTGAAGGCGTCAAGTGTGGGGATGTTGCGGATCTCCGCAGGGAGAGCGTTCCAGAGGGTGG